TGGAGGTGCCACAAGGGCTGGAGATGGTGGAGGTGCCACAAGGGCTGGAGATGCCACAAGGGCTGGAGATGGTGGAGGTGCCACAAAGGTCTGCAGGTACCACAAGGGCTGCAGGTGCCGCAGATGCAGCAGGTGCCGCAGGTGGCTGGAGATGCTGCCGGGGCCGCGGCCACCGGCCAGGCTGGGCACCCGGTTGAGGACCCACCTGTTATTGAGCAGGGCGAGCAGCTCGCCCGCGTGGTACAGGTCGTTCTTGGTGACGCGGCTGAAGCGGAACTCGTTGAGGTTGCAGAAGGTGACGGCGGGGAAGGTGAGGCGCGTGGCCGCCACCTCGTCCAGCTTGGTGACGTGCGGGTAGAGGAAGTAGTACTGGATGCGGTTGGTGCAGACGAGGGCGAGCAGCGCCAGCGAGCCCAGGAAGCAGAGCGCCCAGAGGCCGCGCTTCACCGAGAGGCGCTCGTAGGAGAAGATGTGCGCGAGGCCGTGCAGCGTGGAGCTGCTGGCGAAGGCCTGCAGGCTCACGGGCCGCCCGCCGCCCGCCTCCTCCTCCTCCACCTTGAGGTCCATGGTGGCGCCCTGCGAGGGGAGCCCGTGGGTGCCGGCGCCGCGGGGGCCCTGCCCGCGCCCGCGCACCCTGCGCAGGAGACCTGTGCCTATAGGTGTGCATAGGCATAGGTGTGCATAGGCATAGGTGTGCATAGGCATATATGTACATAGGCATCTATGTACATAGGCATATGTGCGTGCATAGGCATATGTGTGCATAGACATATGTGTGCATAGACATATGTGTGCATAGACATATGTGTACACAGGCATACATGCACATAGGCATATACGTRCATAGGCATATACGTACATAGGCATATATGGCATATAATGGCATATATGTACATAGGCATATGCGTGTGCATAGGCATATAAACATATGCATGTACATACATATATATGCGTGTGTATAGGCATATATATAATGTGGCCCTCTGGGCAAAACTGCCCTCCACTTCTGCCCTGGACATGTACGCATGCATTAAAAAATTATATATGYGTGTCTATGTATATGTGTGTATATATATAGTATACCTACACATATTGTATACATACATATAGCATATATAATATATATCTATATATATTTAGGTGTGTATACATATATATGTGTRCATATATAATATGGCCCCAGGGTGAGGCTGCCCTCAACTTCTGCCCTGGACACATATGTATACATTAAAAAATTACATGTGTATATATATAGTATGCATGCAATTGTATGTGTGTATAACATGCATATATATACATATATAGGTGTGTATACGTATATACGTGAAGATACAATGCAACCCCAGGGTGGGATGGGCACCCTCCCCTGCTCCACCACCCTGGACACACATATATATATATGTGAAAATATAGATAGATGGATAGAAAGATASGTAGGAAGATAGGWAGATAGGTAGATAGATAGATAGATAGATRGATAGATRGATAGATGGATGGAYAGATGGATAGATGGATGGATGGATGTGGAAACACATTTGCATGTGTGTGCATGTGTATATACACACTTCTATATGTATATATATGTAACGTGGCCCTGGGGTGGAACAGGTGCTGTGCCCTGCTCTGCCACCCCAGCCGYACATCCGTGTAAATATGTATGTATATATAAATAGCTATAGAAAGGTGTGCATCCCTATACGTGCATACGGATCCATAACGGCTGTGCCTGGGTGCAGCCCCTGGCGCTGCCTCCCTCCCGCCTCCTCGCCGCTGTCCCCACGGCAGGACCGGCACCGTGCCGCCCGGCTCCCGCATCCCGGCGCCGGCTCCCGCATCCCGCCGCCCCCGGCCGCCCCCTCCCCGGCGGCCCCGGCCCCGCGACAAGATGTCAATAAAGGAACGGGCAGGATGCGAACCTGGGCTCGGGGCCGGCGGGCGGCACCGGCTCCGCGGCTCCCGCGAGGCGGATGCCGGCGGCGGAGCGGCCGCCCGCCTGGGATGCGAGGAGGGATGCGCGGAGGGCCGGGATGCACGGAGGGATGCGCGGAGGGACGGGATGCACGGAGGGATGCGCGGAGGACGGGATGCACGGAGGGACGGGATGCACGGAGGGATGCACGGAGGGATGCACGGAGGGACGGGATGCACGGAGGGATGCACGGAGCGAGACCGGAAAAGAAGGGAACGGCGGCGGGGAGGGGGAGGCCGAGGAGGAAAAGCGGGGAAAGGCCCAAAAATAGCGCGGCCGGTACCTTGGTGCAGCGCGGGAGCGGGGCTGCGCCGCGGCCCTGGCTCAGCGCCGCGCGCCGGAGGCGGCCGCCGAGCGGCGAGGCGGAGCGGGAGCGGG